CATAACTACTCGCTCGGGGCGACAAANAGTACTTTAATTAAAAAATTCGAACATTGTACTTGATAAAAACTTTTTGAAGGGTCGTAAATCAAACCTGCGCCACTACATAACTACTCGCTCGGGGCGACAAACTTGAAAAACTTGTGCAATAATTACTTTTTGAGAATTTCATTGGGGCTGCAAATGTCGGATGTATCCTCCTGACTTTCATCTTCACAATCTAGCGCCATGGCACAATCGTCGTTTAAATACAGTTTTTTCGAAAGAATTCTTCATTCTCATTCTTTTGGTTGTTCCGGAATTTGGGACGTCATCAGCGTTCTTCGATTTCAGTTTGTGTAACTCATTTTTAATGCTTTCTTCTGTGACTGCACTTGCACAATATTCCGAATTAAATTTGGGCTAATAATTTTTATTTCGAAATAATGTCCTATCCGGATAATAAAGAAACCGCTTATCCAAATTAAACAAATTTTGTATCATATGAAAGAGGACTGAATAGCTTTTAAACAGAAATAACGAATGAAGGGTTCCACCTCTATTTATATTTTTTTTTATAACTTAATACTAAAGAAACTCATGTAAGTACATACCTGACCCAATGTTTGTTCTATGGTAATTAATTAACATTTTGTATTGAAATATATTTCAATGTGTGGTTTTCCTCTTTTAGACATTTCAGTCTTAAAGCTATTTAAATCCTCCTTGATTGGATACCAAACTTGTTTAATTTGGATAGGCGGTTTGTTTATTATCCGAAAAGTACTTTTATTTCGGAATAAAAAATATTTGGCCAAGTTTAACTCGTAAAAAAAAATAACTGTCGGTCCCTTCAATATTCGCATTCGCACAAGATCCGCATTGATTTTTGCGATTGCGAAAGCGAATGCGAATGTTAAAATTAATGCGGAAGCTCCGCTGTTGCGAATGCGAATATTCGCAACAACCCTAATATATACACATTTTAGGACCTCCTCTACAACTTATCCAAAAATCGAGGAAAAGCACTTGGTCAAACCATAGTGTGGAATGCCTCATATACAACACAGAATGCATATTTTGTAGTAAATGGGCGTGTATTGTGTGTGTGTGTGTGGATGTCACTGTGTGTATGCGTCGTATTAATAATTTATTGCTGCTGAAATTCGCTTTGCTTTAAGCTTTAATGTATGCATGCATACATATGTCCCTGCAGGAAATGTATCTAACTATAAGCTAACTTTAATTTGATTAGGAAGGAGCTAAAAGTCACTATTATCTGTACACTTATTTTCTTTTACGAAAGCTAACTATATTTCTATTATATGTAACTAACTTGTAACCAACTATTTTGGAAATAAAATATCAATAAGAACAATAAAATATTTTTTATTTATTTTATTTATTTATTTATTTATTTTACTACATTTCGTATCTGTTTACATATTTTGCTGCAGGTGGTCCCATATTCGAACTCCGTCAGACATCACTTCAAAATGATAATATGCAATTACGATCTTCCTTTTATTTGTCCTCAATTCGAAAAAGTATTTGCGAAGTGCAGGATATTTAAATAGAAACGCGTTTAAAGAAAATAAACTCCTACATTACTTGTCAACTAGTTTCAGGTTAGCTTAGTTAGTTAACTAAAAGTTTTATATTTTTTATATAAATCCCGCAAAAAAGCTAACTACAAGTGGGCTATTTTTTATCAATCGATTTCTGCAGGGCTATGCGTTTGCTGGTGGCTGTGTAAATATTCCCTTCAAATAACAAACACATATGCATGTACATATGTATCTACACTAGAAACTGGACTGAACTTGCATTTAAATGTTTGCATAGATATGCGTGTGCCAGCGTAAGCAAACTAATTGCAAAATTCGCATTATTTGTATTTGCATATGTCCTTATACAATGTGTGTGTTGTGCTAATCTGCCGGGGACAAACATACATAGAAACTGGCATAAATTATTTGTGCGTCTCCTCTTGCAATGAATGCAAATTAGTAAAATGCCTTACGCCTAAATTTATGCAACAAAGCAAATGTCACACGATAATCAGCGGTATGGAGCAAGAAGTCAACTTGGCGTTTATCATTTGCTGCTTAGGTTTTGACATGTTCGTGGCATGTAGACATGAAGTTACGTAAGCTAAGTGAGCTAAAGTTTCACCACTGTTTTCCCCTTTGTTTTACAGCAAACATACACAATTTTATAAAATTTCTGGTATTTACATTTTTTTTTCGAATTTTCTACAATTTTAATTATGAAAATTATGGAGATATTAAAAGCAATAAGGTATACGCTAGCCTGGCTTCGATAGAAATGAATTTTGCTGCTACTCTGTAGCTAACTAAACTGCCTAGTATTTATATTATATTAATTTTAATTATTATATTAATTTAAATTAAATTTTCTTGTCGAAAAGGGGCTTCCCTATCATGGCTTTTTTAAGCGTTATACTGACCGTCAGACTTACGTTCTTCCTATTAAAACAAAGGACACAATCATAGTCAGGTATCCTGTAAATGTGAATGTTTGGTCATTCACGCTAAAATAGCTAAACGGATTACAATGAAATTTGGCACACAGAAAGGCTAAAGCCTATGTAAATTAACATATGGGACATTTCTTGAAGAGAATTGCCTCCCTTTTCAAGAGATTTGAACTCAATCAATTAATAGTTTAAATAAAATATAGCAAAAATGTGAGTGTCAAACGAAAGAGGTTCCAAAGCGATTTATTTGGTAAATACTTTTTAAGGGGGTTGCCACCTGTTAATTTAAAATCGATGAGTGGATAAGTTAAGTAAAATATCAAAGCCATATGGGTGTCAAATGAAAACGGTTAAATATACATTTTTTACGAAAGTATCATTTATGAAGGTTGCCACCTGTTGACAACAAGTTGAATAAAATATTTTAATATGTGCTTGATGCCATGAAGAAGTTTAAGAAAGTTTTTTTTTTCAAAAATTTTTTTCAAAGAGCTGCAACCTGTTTCGATATTTAAAATCAGTTTAATGTTGAACAAAATATTTTAAAACGGGTGTCAAATTATAGGGATTTTAAGAAATCGGCATCTAGTTCGAAAATTTGTGTTGACCAAGGTTACCACCGGGAGTTTAGGATCAATCAAACTGACGATTTAAATGAAATCCGACTGCAACCACAAAATTTTTTATAATAATTGCAACTATTTCTATTTAAATTTTTATTAAAAAATCGTGGTGGGTTTTAAATTTTTTTTCGAAGGTGTTTCATATTTTTTCAATACAAAGTAATTTCTAAATTTTTTTTTTAAGAAGAAAATGTGCGAAAAAATTGCCAAAAATCAATTGTAAGATCTAGCNACATCCACCAAATTTTTTATAATAATTGCAACTATTTCTATTTAAATTTTTGATAAAAAATCGTGGTGGGTTTTAAATTTTTTTTTCGAAGGTGTTTCATATTTTTTCAATACAAAGTATTTTCTAAATTTTTTTTTTAAAGAAGAAAATGTGCGAAAAAATTGCCAAAAATCAATTGTAAGATCTAGCTACTATAAACTTGTACTTTACTGTGCAACATCTGTGCTAAACATCTGATTAAAAAGTAGCAAATCTGTATGCAAATTTATAGAAGTTTTTTGGATTTTGCAAAAACTTTGTAGATTATATTTTTATGGTTTTTATAGTAGTAGGAACCATACCTTCATAAAAATATAGTGGAAAAAATTTAAATAACAATTTTTGCATTTGTTGTGAAAAATTCTCTGTGCCCAATCCGGCGGTAGATGTACAGGTTGTGTGAGTGATTGTGTGAGTATGATTGTTTCTCTTTTTTGGATAAAATTTAGCATAAAAACGGATTAACAAATAGCATATTTTCTGTAGAGGGTTGCCAACTTCTCANGTATGGAAGTTTTTTGGATTTTGCAAAAACTTTGTAGATTATATTTTTATGGTTTTTATAGTAGTATGAACCATACCTTCATAAAAATATAGTGGAAAAAATTTAAATAAAAATTTTTGCATTTGTTGTGAAAAATTCTCTGTGCCCAATCCGGCGGTAGATGTACAGGTTGTGTGAGTATGATTGTTTCTCTTTTTTGGATAAAATTTAGCATAGAAACGGATTAACAAATAGCATATTTTCTGTAGAGGGTTGCCAACTTCTCAACTAAATTCTATTTTAAATTATAAGTCCAACAAAAGTTTACGGTATGGATGTCAAACGAACCACTCTTTTAGTACAAAATCAAATTTTAAGGGCAGTGCCATTTATTTAAAAATTACAATTAAATTTTTTTAGTGAGTTAGATGATATGTCTTAATGTGTGTGGCATACGAATGAGGTTTAAGAAAGCTTTATGTTGAAAATATTTTGAAGAGTGTTGCCTCCTGCCTAAATGTCAGTTAGCATTTTTCCATCATTTAAATATAGATTACATGAAGGATGTATCGAAAGAGGTGTGAGAATGTTTTGTTACCAAAATATTTTTAAAAGGGGTTGCCACTGGTTTAAAAGTGAATTTAAATTAAATCAATAAGTTACATGAAACTACTTACTAAATGATGTCAAGTCAAATAAAATATGTTTAAGGTGGCTTTATTTTGAATTTTATTTTTAAGAGGTTGCCACCTAATTAAATTTAATCTGTTACTTTAATATTACATATATATATATATCTTATATAATATATTATAATATCGATCTTAAATGAAATATGTTTAAGAAACTTTATTACGAAAGAAATAGGCTGAACATTTTACAGCAAGATTCATCGCAGGAGAAAATAAAAGGCGCTCCTGCTATACTTTTCAGCGATAGCCAATGTGAGAATCCCCTTACTGGTCAGATTTCGTCAGAAGAAAATTTCACAAGAAAATGCGTCTATTGTTATGTTATAAATAGCCTAACAGGCAGTTCCTAAAATAATATAATTTTATCGAATTTTTTTTTTCTTTATTTGAACACATTTCTGTTGTAACTTTTTTAATTACCTTTTTTTTCCACATTTCTTTCAATCCAAAGGTCCGCCATATGTACGCGCCATCGGACCCATTAAAGCTGTCGCCGGCGAAGACATAATTGTACATTGTCCATTTTCCGGTTATCCAATCGAACAAATTAGATGGGAGAAAGGACATCAGCAATTGACATCAAGTAAGACAAATTGCCATTGTACGTGCAAATTTTGGTGTCGTACACCGAACAATCATACAAAAAAAGACATAGCACAATTCCAGCTAAAAGTATGTATGTACAACCAAGTGCAAAGCGCAATCACACAATGCCGCAATTGCTGTGGAAAATGTGAGGGAGAGTGTTGTAAGGATAGGGATAGAAAGCTAAAGGATGCAAAGTGCTGAAGCGGTACAATAACGCATTAACTGTTGGATTTATACCACTTTGCTAACGAACGAACGTTGTATTCTTCCACACACACACATACGAACATGCATACATATATAGATACAATACACGGCTGTGCATTTGCTAGCTTAGCATTTGTGTGAAAATACATTTTCCTCTGCAATAGTTTTACCAAACGGGTACACTGCCATAACTTTGCGTCCACTTTAGTGGTGTTGTGTTTGTATTTTTCGCTATTTGCACTTTATTTGTCAGCTGCAGTTTAGTATTCGTACTGGCTAATTGTATACTCCGCGCGTTTATACAAACATTTAATTTGTGTTTTTTTTTTTTGGTTTGTGTGTGTTTTTTTTTGTGAAGCTTCACCTTTGCTTTATTGTAGTACATATTCCATTTTCTGTTTGCAGATTCACATTACTCGCTGTCACCAGTGCAGCAAGGTGGCTATCTTGTCATCAAGAATGTCGAACCGACCCGTGATCAGGGCATGTACACGTGCATTGTGCGGAGTAGGAATGGCGAGGAGGCGCGGCGGGACATGCAGCTGAATGTCAATAGTAAGTAAGGGGAGAGTGTGTGGAGGTGTAAACGGATTAAGCGGAACAATGAAAAGTGAATTGTTTTTGTGTTCATCTAAACTGCCATGAAGTACACGATAATTCTTAATGGATGTGAAGAGATTTGTTAATATTAACTTTTTTTACATAATGAAATAGCATACAGTAATAATAGTTGAAAGGAAACTGGGCTTTTGTAAGAGCTCACTTAGGACCAATATAATGTGTACATATTAAGCTTTTTGTTTAAGAAGCGAGACTCGGTCACTGAGTACTGTCGATCACCTCGGTGGACGAATGTCTAGCCACAATCTGTATCAAAACGAGGTTCTTCGACATCTCGCCCATTTGCACTTACACCTCGAAGGAAGAGAAGGAAAATCTTCAAGAATTTCTTCTATGAGAGCTTGCAGCGTACATACGCTGCCACAGTCACGATATCAAAATCATGCTTGGATACTTAAATTCCAGGGTGGGTAAGGAGTGGATATTTGGCCACACCTTCGGAAAATTCAGTATCCCTGACGAACCGTCCGATAACAGTCTGAGGCTGATCGACTTCGCCGGTGCATGAAAAATTGTAGCTACTGCTATATGCGTTATAAGAAACTGATGAGGGAAGCGGGACGTATTTGTCGCAATAAGAAGAAAAAAGCTCAAATACGTGAGTGCAAAAGGCTTGAAATGCCGGCCAACTTACTTAAAGCACCCTAGTGACTGATGTCCAAAACTGAAGGAATTTCAAATTTCAAGATTTTGATTTATTTAAAAAAAACTATGCACTATAAAATTCTGCACATTCTTCTAATAACTATTTTATTCGAAATTAATAAAGTTAGAACAACGAAATTGGACGATGTGGCAGTGCACATACATATTAGTCCTAAACATATGTATATTTTTTCCGAAAATAACTATTAAAAACTTTAATGGATTTTCAAGCACAAAGTTTTAAAAGGTCGTTTTCAATATCTACCTATTCGTAATTAGGCACCAACAAATTAAATTCACTTCAATTACGAAGAATTTTCTCTTTCATTTGTTGTTTGTATATTGGACTGAATTTTTTAATTATTAGTTTTTTTTTAATTAATCATATCATTGAAATTCCGAAGTCCTTTAAAAAAGGGTCTGAGTAACTGGAACTCATGGAATTTGAGGTGTAAGTGTTCATATGTGTCCCGAAATAATCCCGAAATTGACCTGACAAAGTCCATAACTCGTCCCGAACTGGCGCCAAAACTAGTCCCGAAATCATTCCACAATAGTCCTGAACTAACTCCAAAATGGGCGAGTACTAGACTAGAAACGATCCCGAAAAAGTTCCGAAGAGTTCTCGAAAAGGTCGCTACTGATTAGATTTGTTTTCATTCTTAATACCTAAGAACTCGTCTTAGTTTACGCGTTACGGTTTACGAGTGACGGTTTACGCAAATTTTGTCCATATGGGGAGCAAAGATGGTTACACATAAAAAAACCTGCCGTTAGAGAGAAAAACTACCCAGTTTTAAAATCTTTGGCCGCTAGTTTCGCGAGTATTTAGAAATCTGTTTCACAGCGTAATTACTGCAGAGGTTCCCAAACCTTTTTCTCGTAGACAGCTTAAAAAAATTTTAATGGCTTCGATGGACCTCCGGCTTCTACATTTCTACCATATTCCCAAAACTCGCCAAAAAAATGTGAATATTAGATCATTCTGCTTTTATGAGGAGTAATATTTTGGATGGCAAGGGAGCGTGAGCTAAATATAGAGGCGCAAAAAACTTGGTTATATCAAAGATAAAAAAGAAATAGTTGTAGTGAGGAGGAAGATGGAAGTTTTATTTCGAAAAAAACTAAAAATTTTGCAAAATTAATTTTGCGCGCTATTCGTCAGGATTAAATGAGAATTGTAGCTACCAAGAAATCTGAAAATGTGAACGTTAAGGCTTTAAAATTATTATTTTTTTTTAATCTCAGTATGAATATTTTTCACCGAAATACGACCTGTCATGATGGAAAAATTTATATTTTTTTGCTCACTTGATTTTTTTTAGTAGTGTATTATCTGCCTACAATGGTAGTTAAAGCCAAGCCAACAATTTTATTTTTTACTACCAAAACCAAATATATTTTCGTGGACCCAACTCATGAACCCCCATATTTTTTTCATGCTAATGTAGACCTCTGGAGGTCCACCAGGAGCACTGTGGGAATCACCGAAAAAGTGGAAAAGTTTTGTCAGTTCATTGTATGGGCACAAATGCTACTCATACGCCCTCTCTCTCGTGGTAAAAAGCTGCCTTAACCTGAGTTTCGCCCAAAAAAAATTTTTATTCCGCCCATAGTAAATACATGGAAACTAAATGTGAAAAGTACACCGGTTCGGGAAAATTAAACTCATGATAAGGCTGATTAATTTTGAAAGAAGAAATAAAATAACATACATAGATATTGAAACGCAAATCATATTTTATGACAACATATGTTTGTATGTTCATTGAGGAACTATCTTTAAGTCTTTTCAGGTAAACCAGCCTACAGACATATCTATCTCAACTATTCTTAATCGAAAGTTAAGCTTAGCCTTATTCAAAAATTTACGTTTATAGTATTTTTACTGTCAAAGCATCTAAACTCTTTTCTTCTTTTTCTTTAATCTCTTGCAGGCCCGCCTGTCATTGAGCCATTTAAGTTTCCAAAGAATCTACAAGAGGGTGGACGCGCACAAATAACTTGCGCCGTTTCATCCGGTGATATGCCAATCTATTTCAGCTGGAAGAAGGACGACATGTCCATACCGACAAGTTTGCAGGTGAGTTGATAAACATAAAGCCATGTGAGCCCTGAATGGCAATGAGGGAATAGAAGTAAGAAATGTAAAAAAGAAAGAAGAAATTTTCCGAACATATACATATGTATATACCAGCAGCAAGTTTAGGAGAGTCAGTTAAAAGTTATTTGATACAAAAGCAAATAAAAGAAATTGCATGTGCAGCATACATACCCTATAAACATTTTGGCGAACTTTCGAAAATTATCTTTGATTTTCAATATACATATCGAACTAAAAACGAATTCATAACCAACGCTAGTTTTGCAACGTTCATAGTATATTGGAAATATACTCGAGATATATTCATGAAGGGAAATATTAGAAATTTACTCTCTCTCATTAAAATTTCATTTCGATTCGGGCTGAGTTTCGAGGTCATAGGAAAATTCATTGGGTTCCATTACGCTGGAGTATGGTATAGTTCTCGAATCGAATACTAACCTATTCCACATTCGTTATCGAAGGTGAGACTTGAAAAAAAATGTTAGTTTTCCAATCATCTTCGAATTGTTAACCAAGCCTAATGTTTATTGGGTATATATGAAGTACATATGTATGTCGGAGCATATGTGAATAAGATTTCGTAACAAAGTGTCAAAGTTATTTTAAGCGCCAAATTAACAAAAAACTCTAGCCCATCTTCCAAGTTTACACACAAATTCGTACCGTTGTATGAGGGAGTATTCACATACTTGCATTTACACTCACATTCTCACTAGCTATTTCAATTTTGTTGTATTTGTCTCGCATGTTTTTTCTTGTTTCGCAGATTACTGAGAAAAAAGAGGAATTCTATTCGCTGTTGGTCTTCAAGGATATCAGCGCAAAGCATAGCGGTAAATATACCTGTTATGCGAGTAATGCAGCTGCCAAGGTGAACTACACCGCCGAATTGCAAGTGCGAGGTAAGCAATGGGTTGAGGGGGGTAGTTGAAAAAAGGTAATTGCTATATGAAGCAACACTTTCGAGAGTTGGCAAAGCAAAGCAAAGCATAGCAAACGTGCAAACACACATACATGCCTAAGTAACTGAGAGGATAAGTAAGTTGTGTGTCAGCACTTGAGATTCACACTGAGAAGATTTAGTCACACTTCAGTTATACAGCTACACAAAGCTAAAGTTTCGAATATCAATATTGGTGACACAGATTTTTCCCATTTATGTCGAAAGTTAATAGAAAGAATTTTGAAGCACAGATCATTGATTAATGTTAGAGACTGGATATAATAACACAGACCTGCGAAATTTAATTTATCTTCTAGCCTCCAATAATATGTAATTTTTTTAAGTATCTAGGTCGATAAATTAAAATATAGTATTTCTTAAAATTTTAAACTAAATATGAGTTTTTACTTAAAAAACAAACATCCCGTGACTAGTGGGTAAAATGGATCGACGCAATTTAAATCTCCCAACGAATTGTCTGGAAGCCGAAGTTTAATTTTTTTTTGCGTACCAGCTCGAAAGTTAAATTTGGTCTGTAAACTGCTGTATGGGCAATAAAGAACCTTTTTTTTGCTGTAAGAAACATATGGGACTCCAGTTAATTCTTTACATTTTTTGCCCAACTTTTTCTAAGTAATTAAAATGTGAGTTTTTTTTAGACAACTAAAAACATTTTTAATCTATAATTAATGTGGGGATGTTGCGTTAACGTCACAACCTTAGTACTTCTGTGCTTCAGTTGGCTAACGTACTGCCGTGAGTGTGTTTGTACGATTTTCATGCTTTCGCTTTGAAATAAATCACATTGCATTTCTTTTTCAAATTACTCGATGGCGGCAAATACAGAGAAAGTTACGGTAAGCTTAAGAAAATCCACTGTACACGTTTGCGATGGGAAAACTTGCAAGCAAAGCTCATAAGCACACACACACACGTACACAATCCGCCTAGCTAGACGAACCGTCGAGCAATGTGATTTTTTTTTTACTTTTTTTTTCTATGATTTTCTATACACAAAGTCGCAATGCAGTTAATTTTGCTGTTTACTTTTCTACTTTGTATCTTCACAACTTGCGGCTGCAACAACGATGCTGCGATACTGCGACGCTGCCACAACAACGCTCATCACTGCTTATCGCTTCGCATCGCACATTCGCCACGTACGTTATCGGATTGTGCGCGCCCATCGGCCGCTGTGTGTGTGTGTGTGTGTATGTCTGTTGCTGAACATTCAATGCGCTACAACCGATGCCGTGGCTGCCATTTGGCTTGGCTGGGAATTACGTTTATTTAGTTGCGCCACGCTGGGCGTTGGAGCCAATGGACACGGCCATCATGCTTGGCAATACAATATCGATAAATTGCGAGGCGGAAGGATATCCGATTCCAACTATTACCTGGTTCAAAGGACAGGGTGAGTAGCGCGCAGAAGTAAAAAAGTAAACAAAAACAATAAATACTAGATAATACAAATAAGGCTGGCAATAGGAGTAGATCGCTGTAGTGTGTAGTGTAGATATGTTTCAACCTTAGTGTGCGGTATGTATGTACATACGTTAGGGTGGAGCGCAAAAAAACAAATTTTCAACTTCGAAAGTGTAATAGTACTTAAAATTTGCGTAAAGTATTCACATTGAACTGTAGAAAACTGTTTTTCAATGGGATAGTTCTTTTTTTAGAGGAATGGTGTTACCTCAGAGCTGGTCCCATACTAATTTGGTTTAGATCCGATCATTGAATCGAGAAGAATTTAACGATAATCTTAAATTTTTCTATGAAAATTGAAGTCGGTTTTGTTTTTTGCTTAAAAGTACTTCTTCTAGAATTGATAGACGATAATGTGTACCACTTTTGACGTTATTTCAGATTCACAATTTTCTGGTTTAAACCAGCATATACTCTGAATCTCATTAAAATCGGATAAGTACGTCAACTTTTACAATTTTCCACATTTCTTCATTCCTAAGTGAAGGATGGCGCATATGCGAAATTTCAGCGAATTTAAATTGCGGTTACAACTTTTGGCCGCAGCTCATATGGGGACGTCCCACAATGGGATACAAAACTGTATATTTACTCAAAATATTTTTAGAAAGTCTTTTAAAATATGAATAAAATAAACATAATCAGATCAGAAAATGCTTTAAAACGGCTCATTATGGCCATGCTTTGCCAAATTTTCAGACTATTTCGAAATAGAAAAAATTGATCTTTTTCGCTCCACCCTAATGTAGGCACAAAGCTTGCAGTGTTGTACAGTCTCTGTCGGCGAATGTGTCTGTAATAAAAACTTGCTACAGCTAGAATGAAAAAAGAAATAAAAATCGAACCAAATANTGAATAAAATAAACATAATCAGATCAGAAAATGCTTTAAAACGGCTCATTGTGGCCATGCTTTGTCAAATTTTCAGACTATTTCGAAATAGAAAAATTGTTTTTTTTTCGCTCCACCCTAATGTAGGCGCACAGCTTGGAGTGTTGTACAGTCTCTGTCGGCGAATGTGTCTGTAATAAAAACTTGCTACAGCTAGAATGAAAAAAAAAAATAATAAAAATCGAACCAAATAAAAAAGTGTTCTCTGGGTACGTTAGTAAGAAAGAGAGAGAGAAAAGATACGGCAGTGGACTTAATCCTGAAATGCGAGTTCATTAAAGTTTTATAGACGTCAACTTTGGGTTCGTAAGTTAAATTGGGGTCGAGCGTGTTGCCAAGTGGAGTGGGCGCGTAGAGAGCGAACATTAAAAGGATAAAGCCGCTGAAAAAAAAAGCGAAAGAAAAGTAACTAAATTAAGAAAAGAAAGCGTATAAAAATGCTGGCAAAGANGGTACGTTAGTAAGAAAGAGAGAGAGAAAAGATACGGCAGTGGACTTAATCCTGAAATGCGAGTTCATTAAAGTTTTATAGACGGCAACTTTGGGTTCGTAAGTTAAATTGGGGTCGAGCGTGTTGCCAAGTGGAGTGGGCGCGTAGAGAGCGAACATTAAAAGGATAAAGCCGCTGAAAAAAAAGCGAAAGAAAAGTAACTAAATTAAGAAAAAAAGCGTGTAAAAATGCTGGCAAAGGAGAATGTAAGAAGTAAAGCAAATAAATTAATGTCAGAAATGTTAGAATATTAATTAAGCCATTTCGCCATTGATGTGCAATTACACGCGCGGCAGCTGTCACAAAGCGTTTAAATCCAGAATTTGTAGAGAAAATGAGCAAATAAATAAAAATGTAGTCCGCACATTCATTTACTTTAAATTATTTTCCTTCAGGCAAAATGTCGCAGGACTTTAAGCCGCTCAGCATGCGCAACAACTCGCTGGTGCTCAATTTGGCTACGGATATTGATGAGGGGTTCTACATGTGTCAGGCCACAAATGACATTGGCGCCGGTCTGAAGAAAATCATACGCATCAATGTGAATGGTAAGTGAACTCTGCAGTGTGCAGTTTGAGAGTGCAAGCGATTTTCAAGCAAATACTTGTAATTTTAAACTTTACTAACCACATAACGAAACTCTTTCTTCTTTGCTCACCCCTTCTATTCACTCCACCTTAGAGCCAGCTCGCTTCGAACAAGCCGCCCGCAATGTGTCATCCCGCCGCAACGATCCCGTCAGTCTCGAGTGCCAAGCCAAAGGCGACGAACCCATCGCCATCTCGTGGACACACAACAACGGCCGCATTGACCTCAATAATTTCCGTTTTAGCATTGCGGAAATGAAAACGGAAAAGGGTGTCGACTCACAGCTGACCATCGCCCGTTCGGATCGCCACGATTCGGGCATTTACCGTTGCATCGCCGAGAATCCTTATGGACGCGCCGAACTCGTCATCTTCCTGGCGGTGCAAGAGCGCCCCGACACACCCTCCAGCCTGGAGGTGTTCGAGGTGGGCTCGCGTACCGTCAAGTTGTCGTGGCGGCGCCCATTTGACGGCAATTCGCCGGTGCTTAGCTACTTGGTGCAATATCAACCGTTAAAGTATCTGCAATCGCATGCAGCGCTCGGTATAACGGGCGGCGATTGGAGTGGTCCGAATATCATCAATGTGACTTTGCCATCGACGAGTATTAGCCGTAGGTAAGTTGTCACACACACACACATACATACATGCATTGCATTATTCATGCACATGCAAAATATTTTTGATTGTTGACACGCTTTTGTTTCCCCTGTTTTTGTTGTTTTGTTGCTTGTTTGCTTCGTCAGCTATGACAGCGATTTACGTGAGAGTGCCATTGTTGCTGGGCTAACGCCGGCGACCACATTTCTCATTCGCATGCAGGCAATCAACGAAATCGAGCGCAGTCCATTCACCGATCCGATTGTGTTGAAAACGCAGGAAGAGGCACCCACCGAAGCGCCCTCGAATGTGCAAGTGCAGACTGGTGGCGAGAGTGAATTGATTGTGACATGGCAGGTGAGTGCTAGCATATGCAAGTAAGTAAGTGTGCGTGGCAGCGGATATGACAACGGAAGCGACCGATTATGAAGTAGTTGCTGGCGCTAACAAGTGGTTATACCGCATTCATATGTATGTATGTACATTAGACCGTATCACCTTAAAAGAAAAAAAGTCCCCAAACACCCCGGAGTCTAAAGTATTTTTGCAAGACAATTTCGAGAAATATGTTTTATGTCGGCTGAACCTAGGCTTCGCCTACACCTACACTCGGCAATAAAATTTATTAATTTTTTTAATTGTGCAACTGAAATAATCAACAAATTTTTTTAGCAAAGTTTTAATAATTTATGACGAGCTTTAATTTTCTGACGTTAGGGTGCTATATTAGGGTGATAAGGACTGAGATCTGTTATGTAAACATTCGGACGGGGTACTTGAGATCTATGAACTTACGAACAACAATTTTTTTTTTGAGCCAAGATATAATTTAAGATCCGACTGTAAATGCCGAAGATATGACAAAAAATATAAACAGACAGCCCCCTAGGTTCAGCAAAAAGAAGTTTTCCAAACAGCCTTCCAAAAATACTTTGACTCAGGAGTGTACAGCGAAGTTTTTCTTTTTGGTACGGTCCAATGTATCAATATATATAATCTTGGTCTGTAGATGTGCAATAAGGTTTTACTTTTTCGAAAAGAGTTACCACCTGATAAAAAATTGCATTCAAATAATTTAATAATCAATCCCATCAGATCCACACCGTTCGGTCGATTTTCAAAAGCGAGGTGTCAAATCAAAGGGCTCTGACTTTAGGTGTGCAATAAGGTTTAACTTTTTCAAAAAGAGTTGCCACTTTTGAAAAAATTAAGCTCAAAATAATACGTGAAGGAATGTTTTGTTCCGAAAAAGATCTGCACCGTTCGTTCGATTTTCAAAAACGGGGTGTCAAATTAAAGCGCTTGGCCTGTAGATGTGCAAACTGGTATATGTTTATTTGTTTTAATTAGTTTTTGGTTGAATTTGAAAAAAAGCCAAACTGAAGCACTTTTGCCTTTTTATTTGCCTTCATACCTGGTAGTTTTTCTTTGTTCCCATCTACATTAGGGTGGTCCAAACATTTATGTGAAAAAGTAATGCTGTCGCCCTTAGGATTGCTTTTTATCGCAAAATATATATATATATATATAAATCTGTGTTTTTTATTTCGAAATTAAAAATATTTAGAGGTCCATGTATTTTATATGAAAAAAACATTTGGCGTAGAAATAGTGTAAAATTCTTCAAAATCAATATTTTTCGACTGGAAAGTTTAAATAAACAGTTGGGTATTGGATATTGGTAGTCTCCTGAAGAGAAACAGAGTTCGAAAAATATTGATTTTTATGAATATACCATATATATATATATATTCACATATTAGTAATATTTGCTTTACTTTTTTATGCCATTTTAAAGGCCGTTGTGTCATATTCTTCGAAACCGGGTTCACATTTTAACCGAAGACACGGCCCTTGTTAAGGTAAATCAACTGTATCAAACCTACTAGAATTCACTACAAATGAGAACAATGGTTTTAAATGTAACTTTCCAACAGACTTTGTTGAGCTCTTACAGTTGTTTTTTCTTGCTTACACACTAAAGTGATCCAATTTTTTTATAGGGGGAAAAATGTTCATCCGGAAAACGGAACCCCCTTAGTTTTTTCCTTTTAATATTTGTAATATCTGTACCAACTTTCAGTTTTCTACTGCAACCAATACAGAGTGCTCAATGACTTTGAAATGCGTTACTGGAACGCCGTGAAACTGGCAAAAATATTACTGAGTTTTATAAAAAGGTGCTGTTGCTATGACAACTGAAGCTTGTGATATTTTTTAAGAATTTACATTTGAAATGTTCTTTGGTTACTTAACCAAGTTTTTGATTAATATATGTACGCAATACTTCTAGAGTAAAATATGACCATTGTGAGCATATTCTAAATTTATACTTAGAAACGTAAGGTTCGGTACCAGCTCTTCTTTCTTTCGACAAGCGCAAAAATTTTGCCCCAAGCTCTATCTTGGGAAAATTTTTTTGGACCACTCTATTACACACGCACAAAAATTGTTATATGTACTACTTTATCGCCTCCCTTTCATCACCTAATTTTTTCAGTTAGCACTTATCAGAGATTGCAAGAAAGGTAAATATGAGCTTAATGCAGTTTTAAATCCACCACTTTAATCCCCACGTGTTAATGAGTTGATTTACTTCTCTCGAACTCTGCTAACTTTGACTAAAAGCATACAAATTGCTTACCTCAGGCAACCACCTGCTCTAATAAAACTTAAACAAAACATAATTTCATGCGCAACTGCCCTTAATTTTTATAGGCCCACCTCTAGCCATTATGTATATCAACCATATTTACATTCGCTCTCTCCCTTTCTCCTATATTACCCGCACACAAAACCCTGAAGCGCAATCATCACCTGTATTTAACATCTTGCGGCTTTTTATCGATATTAATAATTCAACACACCACAGCGGTGACTGATTTATGTGCATTTGAAAGTAAAAGGCATCAAGTGCACTTACACTTCAATTCCACAACACACCACCTGCCGCCGTGTCTTCAGCCATAGCTTACGTGTCGCTGTCCTAATGTCACTTTCTCAACAGCGCCTCGTTTTCTTGGCATAAAATAAACATTTATTTGGGCCACTCGTCACAGGCATCGTCAGTGGGAGTATGGGTGTCTGTAGTGGCCAGCTCAAAATTTACTACCTATGTACATTAGACTGCATCACCAAAAAAATTGCAGTTTTTTTTGCCGGGATTACAAAGTGTACTATATTTGAAGACTTCCACCAAAATATTTCGGAAAATATAAAGATTTGAAAACAACTCCAAAAATTGAGTTTTTTTATAAATAAAAATGGTTTCTTATAAAACTTTTCGAAAAAAAACCTCAGATAACTAAGCAATTTTAGCTTTAAAAATATGCATAAAAATATAATGAAATTTTTGATGCTGTTTTTGGACTTTTATCAAAGATTTCTTTAAGAAAAACGTGAATAACTGGGCTAAAACTAGACGTTAATAAAGAATTAAAAAGTGTGAGAAATTACCTTTCCAATGATACCTCATTAGCCTAAATCGGTAACGTTTGGCTGAGTTCAAGTTTTTCTTACATCAATATTCAAAAACAGCATCAAAAATCTCATTATCATTTCGTTTTGTTGTTTAATACTTGTTTGCAGATTTTTTAAACTTACACTTTTTTATTAACCGAGGGTTTTTTTTAAATCCATTAAGAAACATTTCTATTCATAAAAAAAAATAATTTTTGGAGGAATTTTCAAATCGATCCAGCTCAGGTAAATATAAATATTTTTCCGAAATATTTTGGCGCAAGTCTTAAAATATATCAGATTTTATACTTCCAATTGAAAGACAGTATCGATTTTTTTTTGTGTGGCGAGTGATGCTCTCTAATGTACATACATTCTTAAAATACCATATTGTCACTACTCTACCACATCGGTTTTCTTTTTCACCTGCAAACTTGTCTTTGCAGATACCGTCACGTGAATCTTGGAATGGTGAACTCATTGGCTACACCGTTAACTGCAGCGAGGAAAAACAGAACATCAACTACATTAGCGTTGTCAATAATTCACTCAAGTCGGTGATTGTAAGTGGTTGGGCAACCACAAAGGCAACTATTCGCGGTTTACGCAAATACACCAGGTACGCAGTGATGGTGCGAGCGCTCAATAGCTTCGGTTCGGGACCATGGAGTGCAGCTATTTTTGGAACAACAGCTGAGGGTGGTAAGTACTTAGTTGAATGTGTATAAATAAGTTGTTGTGCGTACCTATACATATTTGGTTGTTGTTTTGTTTTTGGCACTTGAAACTACTTTTTATATACATAGCCATTTCGTGTCTTTCGAGTAGTGCATGTGCNCAACAGCTGAGGGTGGTAAGTACTTAGTTGAATGTGTATAAATAAGTTGTAAGTGCGTACCTATACATATTTGGTTGTTGTTTTGTTTTTGGCAATTGAAACTACTGTTTATATACATAGCCATTTCGTGTCTTTCGAGTAGTGCGTGTGTGTTTATGTGTCATTCGTGATTCCCTGCTGGGAAATGCGGTGGCTTAAATGCTGGATCCTAGATCGACAGATTCCTTCAGGCTGTACTTTTTCTTGTTTCCGTTCACCGCTAGATCAACCTCTTCTGCCATCTTTTCTAAGCTGGAAGATACTGCGCTAATCGTCTTGACATTAAGCGCTACAATATCAATATTATCTGGATATGTTAGCAGACTGGTAATTTTGGTGAAAATATAGGGTGCTGAAACTGCTGCACGTCCACCAAATATGGTAGTCTGCAGAACTTGGTTTCAGCAAGAATGAATTCATAAAGCTAAATAGCAGTCGCCATATCGAAAAACGAGAGACCTACTTCAGTATGTTGTGGTATAAGGAAATACGGACTAACATTTCCCGCGCATAGTATACTGCCGCCAAAGACGTATGTAGTTGGATTTCAACATGCTCTGAGAAGGATTTCAATAATTCTAGATTCCTTGAAAAGGAAAAAAGTTCTAGATATTTTGAAAATTTTTATTTTTTTTATTTTTTTATTTTGTATGCCACATTCACGCAGCATGCGACATGTGACAAAAAATCAAATAAAAACTGTTCTGAGTAGCTTTTCAATATTTCTAGAGTTAGATATTGAAAAGGAACAAGAAAGTTCTGCAAAATTACGCCGAAAATACAACTTTTTTTTCAAAATTCGAAAAAATTAAATAAAAAAAAAAAAAAAATATGTACGACCTGAATAGCTTTTCAACTGTTCTAGAGTTCCTGAAATGGAAAAATTACGTCGAAAGAAGCATTTTTTCAGAAAAAAATGTCAAAAAGGGACATTGCTTGAAAAAAATTAAAACTAGAGTTCCTGAAAAGAAAAAAAAGTTCTGCAAAATTACACCGAAAAAACATAGTTTTTTCAAAAAGTCGAAGAAGTTTAACTTTGAAAAAAATAAGAATTAAAACTTTTCAGAAACTCTACAGCTTTTTTCGGTTAAACTAAATATTCTATTTTTAAACTAAATAGTAATTTTTAGCCGTTATAATGCAGACTGCGTGTTTTAAATCTTTTATGATCTAAAAAGTAAAGTCTGAAATTAACGGTTATGACCGACCGCAGAAAGATAAAGCAAAAATAACGATCAAATATTGATCGAAAGAATTAAAAATCCGAAAATCACGGTTATACTTGATAAAAAAAAAGAAATCTTAAATTAACTTTTAAATGTGATCGGAAATATACAAACAAAATTTTAAAGGTTAGCCATTACGGCACCCGATCTCGAGATATATAGCTAGCGGTAGTGGAAAGCGAAAGGTATTTTCCAAAATCTGTGGTTGCGATGAGCTTGAGACGCTGGATAACGGCCACCGATACAAAAAGGGGTTTCAGACGAGTTCACTCAGTTCGGCCGTCGAGTCTAGTCTTGATTCAAAACGGGCACTCTGCACGTATACAATTCGAACATCAACGAAAGAGTACAAAAGCAGCAAATTTTATTTAGTTGTCGCCTTATTGTTGAGTAAAGTAGGTACACTGAGTAAATTATGTAACTTTTTTTGACGTAGAATACGTCTTACCTTAAGGTATGGGGGCTATGTTCAAATGTTGTAGTTGTAATTTTTAGAGCTTCACAAAAACGCTTATTGCAC